ACTCACTATGACCCAGGGAAAAGACTTGTATTGACATGTGATGCTTCACCAGATGGTGTAGGAGCAATCTTGTCCCACATGGATGAGAAGGGTGACAGACCCATTGCTTTTGCCAGTAGATCTTTGAACCAGGCTGAGAAAAATTATTCTCAGTTAGATAGGGAAGGCTTAGGCATCATTTTTGGTGTTAAGAAATTTCACAAGTTTCTGTTTGGTAGGAAGTTCACCATCTTTACAGATCATAAACCATTGCTAGGTTTATTTGGAGAAAACAAAACCCTACCTGAGCATGCCTCACCAAGAATTCAAAGATGGGCTATCACACTAACTGCATACAATTATGAATTGAAATACAAACCTGGATCTGAGAATAGTGCAGATAGTCTTAGTAGATTACCTTTAAAAAACCAAAGCCTGAGCTATGTACCAGAAGATGTATTTGTTCTCTTCACTATCATGGATAACTCCAATATAGATGTGAATGATATTAAAAGAGAAACACAAAAAGATGAGTGCTTAATAAAAGTATATGAGCACTGTATGAATGGTTGGCCTGAAAAGTCTGTGAATGATGACTTAAGGCCATATAAAATAAGAAATTAAAACCCTTTGTGAAGATAATATAAAAGATGGAGAAGATGCAGTCCATTATCAGTCAGAGTTGCCTAAACAAAGTATTTGTAACTTAATAAATGATTATGGTGATATGGCAATTTCAAATGTTTTAAAGAGAATACATTAGTAAGAAGGAATGTGATCATCAAACAACTTTGCTAACATCATTAGCACTTAAAGAAACTAAAAGGGTAACATCAAAAGAAAGAAAAAAAGATTTTTGCCATTTAATACACCCACTTCAAATACTGGATCACAGTTGCCAAGTGATATGGTCCAGAATATTACTTTAAACAGTATTTTTGGTTACCAGGAAAGCACTATCAGATTACCTGAGAAAATTGATCAATCAAAGAAATCTATGTCAGTCAAGGATCTGAATAACAGCATAATACTTTCAGATGCCAATTCAAAAATAGTTCCATTAGATCATGACAAACATGCATTGAAAGAGAATTTGGTGTTAATGATAATGTGTATCTAAGAAATTATAGGAGAAAGGAAAAATGGATACCAGGTCAAATTGTTCAATGTACAGGACCTGTGCCTTATACAGTTAAAAATAACTTGTGCAGATAATAAGTGTGAATCTATCAATCCCACCAAATCTGAACAGTTCACACCAACTCAGTTTGTTTCACAACCAAGTTCTGTTGATATGAGTGAACCAAGTTGTCTGGAGTCAGAAAATGTAAATTCTGGAGTTAATGATTTAAATCCTAGACCTCCTGAGATAGAGAATCCAGATGGTCAGAATCTTGAGTCACCAAATCAGAAGCCACTGAGAAGGTCAAGCAGGACAATCAAAGTCCCAAATAAGTTAGACCTATGATTCTAAAGGTCAAAAGGACTTTGACATTATTGTTTTGTATTTTGATTATGTTGTGGCATATTGTGCATTGTTTGTAAGGATGTAATCTACCATAGTGTTCATGTTACAATATAATTGGTGATTTTAGGATACTATCAATTGTTCTATTGAGAGATGTGTTATTGTGTTCTAAGGGTAAAGGGATGTAATAGATTGAAATAATTGTGAGGTCAAGGGAACTCACTCTTCTGTATTAGTTATATTTATAATATTGTTATCTTGAGTGATGTCCCTTGTGTACTTCCTTCCGTCCTCTCGGTGTGTTACCATCGTGGTAGTTAGACCCATTAAATGTGTTATATACAACCACAGGCTTCTGTCGTCAATCTATTATAACTACATGCTTGTATAAAGTTTTTACAATTTAATTTAAGTAGCAGATTCTAGATCTAAGTCTAGTCATACAATCTATTTCAATTTCAGAAAATTTCGTTTGCTAAAAAAATGATTAGATAATAGAGCGAGATTTTAGATATTAGAGACAATTAAATGCTTTATTAGGCCTATTATGACTACTTTTGATTTATTATGGGTGTATTTTGAATCGAATGTAGATCTAAAGTAATTAAATTTAAGTAAAGAAGTAGATTCTAGATTCTATGTCTACTCAGCGGAGCCAGGTATTAGGCCTACTATTAGATCTTATTATTCTTATTAGGCCTATTACTTTTGACTTTGTCTTTTACTATTAGTATTTGTGAAGGTCGAGCATATTTGTTTTATTAATAGTTATCTTTTATAATTAAAATGAAGTTTATTATTTTACTGTCCTTACCTGAAACAAAGTATCGAGAACTGCATTTGATCAGATTCGGCTACTTTAACTCTAAACGCAAACAGTATTACTAACAGTATTTTTATTTAGAAATATTGTCCACATTTATTTATACGAAACTGTCAATAACAGTATAAGAGTTCAAGTTTTTTAACGTATTTTTCCTTTTCCGCGGGTGCGGTTCTTTACATACAGTGAACGCGTCCAGCGCTGGTGAACACGTCCAGCGCTGGCGAACAGCTGATTGTGTTTACGTCTGGTGTACACCACTGTGGCGGCGGGCGTAGGTATCACGAACGGACGTGACGTCATATGAAAGGACTCTATAGATTCCTGCCATAATTTAGAACAATATTGCCGAAGAAAGTTTTCAAAAATATCCTTTCGTTCGGTCACAAAAAATTAATTAAGGAAATTGCGCTTAAATTGTCACTAGACTTTTTATTAACTTGTTTTTTTAAATCCTTGTAGTTAGAAACATTTACTAAATTTTACTATCGTAACCCGAATATATTGACAGGCTACATATTTTGTTAGATCTTTCTAAAAACAAGCCGATGATTGCTGACCAGTATAGATAACTTTATTTTTATTTAATTCGTTGAAATTTGTTTATATATTAACTCTAAGTTAGTAGATCACAATATTGCGAGAAAAAAATAATGTTAGATGTAGGTCCAGTGACACCCAATCTGATTTCCCTGGGTGTCAACCCCTCTGCCAACGACTATAGGCCTAGGACTATATATGATGTACCAAAGCTAATGATGTAAATAACTTTGATTAAACTAATTTTTAATCTCCCATTAAATGTTTTTCCAAACATATCGAATTGCTTCAGCCCATGCCCATGGATGGTGTACCCCGTGCGGTTCGCATCCCACGCCCCGTCTTGTGACGCTAGCGTTTGTAGCTTTCCCTCGACTTTCTGGAGTCAAAGTAGATCACAGAGAAAACATAGGGCCTGAACCTAGCGCTTGTTAGATGTGGGGAGAAGATGACTTACACAACTATTGTGTGGGGAGAAAACTTACCACACAACTAATGTGTGGGGAGAAAACTTACCACACAACTATTGTGTGGGGAGAAAACTTACCATACAACTCTAGTGTGGGGAGAAAACTTACCACACAACTCTAGTGTGGGGAGAAAACTTACCACACAACTCTAGTGTGGGGAGAAAACTTACCACACAACTCTAGTGTGGGGAGAAAACTTACCACACAACTCTAGTGTGGGGAGAAAACTTACCATACAACTCTAGTGTGGGGAGAAAACTTACCATACAACTCTAGTGTGGGGAGAAAACTTACCACACAACTCTAGTGTGGGGAGAAAACTTACCACACAACTAATGTGTGGGGAGAAAACTTACCACACAACTCTAGTGTGGGGAGAAAACTTACCATACAACTCTAGTGTGGGGAGAAAACTTACCACACAACTCTAGTGTGGGGAGAAAACTTACCATACAACTCTAGTGTGGGGAGAAAACTTACCACACAACTCTAGTGTGGGGAGAAAACTTACCACACAACTATTGTGTGGGGAGAAAACTTACCACACAACTCTAGTGTGGGGAGAAAACTTACCATACAACTCTAGTGTGGGGAGAAAACTTACCACACAACTCTAGTGTGGGGAGAAAACTTACCACACAACTATTGTGTGGGGAGAAAACTTACCATACAACTCTAGTGTGGGGAGAAAACTTACCACACAACTCTAGTGTGGGGAGAAAACTTACCACACAACTATTGTGTGGGGAGAAAACTTACCACACAACTCTAGTGTGGGGAGAAAACTTACCACACAACTATTGTGTGGGGAGAAAACTTACCACACAACTCTAGTGTGGGGAGAAAACTTACCATACAACTCTAGTGTGGGGAGAAAACTTACCACACAACTCTAGTGTGGGGAGAAAACTTACCACACAACTATTGTGTGGGGAGAAAACTTACCACACAACTCTAGTGTGGGGAGAAAACTTACCATACAACTCTAGTGTGGGGAGAAAACTTACCACACAACTCTAGTGTGGGGAGAAAACTTACCACACAACTATTGTGTGGGGAGAAAACTTACCACACAACTCTAGTGTGGGGAGAAAACTTACCATACAACTCTAGTGTGGGGAGAAAACTTACCACACAACTCTAGTGTGGGGAGAAAACTTACCACACAACTATTGTGTGGGGAGAAAACTTACCACACAACTCTAGTGTGGGGAGAAAACTTACCACACAACTCTAGTGTGGGGAGAAAACTTACCACACAACTATTGTGTGGGGAGAAAACTTACCACACAACTCTAGTGTGGGGAGAAAACTTACCACACAACTCTAGTGTGGGGAGAAAACTTACCACACAACTATTGTGTGGGGAGAAAACTTACCACACAACTCTAGTGTGGGGAGAAAACTTACCATACAACTCTAGTGTGGGGAGAAAACTTACCACACAACTCTAGTGTGGGGAGAAAACTTACCACACAACTATTGTGTGGGGAGAAAACTTACCACACAACTCTAGTGTGGGGAGAAAACTTACCACACAACTATTGTGTGGGGAGAAAACTTACCATACAACTCTAGTGTGGGGAGAAAACTTACCACACAACTCTAGTGTGGGGAGAAAACTTACCACACAACTATTGTGTGGGGAGAAAACTTACCACACAACTCTAGTGTGGGGAGAAAACTTACCACACAACTCTAGTGTGGGTAGAAAACTTACCACATAACTCCCGCAGACGTGGCGCGACCTGCGCTGGTGCCAGCACCATGGGTAAACTGCCAAAAAATCCGTTGGTCACACCCAACAGTATCGTAATGAAGATTGACCACGCCTCTCCACTAAGTGTAGGGCGTGCACGAGGTATTATACACAAAACAACCAATGGAATCAACGCAATGCGCGCTAAAGAATAAATAAGTAGGCGGAGCTTTGTGTAGTTGTGTTTGACAGCAGTCAGCATCTGTGGATAAAAAGCCATCGATGAGCTGCTCATAAAGATTAGAATAAAAATAAAAAAGTATAAACATGTTTTTATAGTAATAAGCTTTTAAATATAAATCAACATCCTTAGTGTAACACCAAAATAAGAACTGGTATGGAACGGTGACCGTGGTAGGGGGCGGTAAGCCGGCGACCATCACAGGGAGACTGGAACAGACAATAATCCATCTATATATATATATATGTATATATATATATATATATATATATGTATATATATATATATATATATATATATATATATATATATATATATATATATATATATATATATATATATATATAATTCTCTTCTTGGAGGCGATAGAAAACACCAAGCTGTAGGCGCGCCTCCTAGCAGCCCCTTCTCTTCCTCTCTAGGCATATCGCTACAACACCCACCCCTACATGGTCTGGTGAGCTGTGGTTCATGCTAAATGTTTACAATCGTAGAGCCGGGTTTAGTGACGGCTATTAGGGGCATTTAATTTAGTTTGAAACGATTTTAAACTTAGGGGAGGTAACTAAGAGGAGGCTGCTTTCACGGGGGGGGGGGGGGGTAGGGGGAAAGGAGGGTTTTAGTGTTTTAAAGCAAATATTTTCAGTGACAGCATTGGTACTGTCGAATTCTCAAATTATGAATTACTGAAAAGTAGAAAATAAAACTAAATAGCGGCGTGTGATACGCCGCAGGTCGGCTCGTATATATATAATTCTCTTCATTGGGACCATGCGAGACACCAGGACGTAAGCTCAACAGACAAAATCACTACCACCCCCACCAGTCTGGTGAGCTGAGAGGAGTGGAAAGTGAGGGTGAGGATAATCGTCCTTCACTAGCTACTGATAGTGTTATAAAGCAAAATATTTTCAGTCACAGCATTGGTAGTGTCGAATTCACAAATTATGAATTACTGAAAAATATGAATTTAAATAGCGGCGTATGATACCTCGCGGGTCAGCTCGTATGCTATAATTAGCTAACCAATAGTTGTTTGCCTAACACAGCAGTATGGGATAGTACATGAGTAATGAAGGAGATAGATAGGCCAGATAAGCCATACAAAGTTTAAGCAATGTCCACAAGGATTAAGCTAAAGATGTAGTCCCAAACAAACCTGGCGTAGAGAAATGTTTAACCCTTTCCCCGGCAACATATTTGGTACTCTGTCCCCGGCAACTGGGTGGATCACGCCCAAAGACTTTCTTATAGTAAATTCTTTTCTTTGTTCATTGTGGGGTGGGTAACAATACTGACACAGTTGAGGTATTCAGGGCACAGAGGCCATGGGGAACACAAGACATGTTGTTGTCAATGGGAGAGCTGTAATATGATATTAGTGGTTGGTGGGATTCTCAAACTAGAGTTAACCTGTGGGTGGACACATGTAGTGATTTATACTCTTTGCTGGAGCTCTGACTTGCAGTTACAGACAGAACTGTAGTTTAGAGTTACAATAGGTTAATGAAATGCAGGGGTAAGATTGCCTGTGGGAGGACATATATAGTGATTTGTACTCTTTTAGGGAGCTCTGGAATGTAGATAGAGACATTCGAGCCTTTTAGAGTAACTTGACATTTACCTCATTAGGAGTACGAATGAGGACAAAAAAGCAAAACAACTTTGTAATGCTGCTTGTAAGTTAATACTGGGCAATTAATTGATCAAACTGGAAGTGGGGTGGGTGTTCTACAGGTTGTGACCCTGAGAGTAAGGTTTATAAATAGTCACAAACGTTATTGAGAACACAACAGAAACAAGTCTTGAACGCTTTTGTCTAAACTCAAGTGCTAATGATAAAGGAATATATGTGCCAGTTTTAGTATAGCAGGTGAAAATGACCAACAAGTTTTGAGTCTGAACTATTAGTATCAGAGGTAGAAGATGAAGAATGGCAGCCAACAGTATCAAGCAGCTCTGATGACGAGGTCTACCCACTATACTGCATTTCAACTATCAATAATGTGTCAACAGTTGGCACTCATAATGAAATGAAACGGCTGGTGCAAAGTGAAGAAAAAGAAATATTTTCAGGAAAGACAAAGTAACAGTACACTAGACCACTGCCTGAAGTGCTAATCCCAGGAAATTTATAAGCAGTCTGACCCTAAATATTTCTTCTGTGCATGAATACAAAAAATAATACAACCAATATTTGACTGCATTAGCAGAGATGGAGAGAAAGCAAGAGGAGACACTGGCACTCTGCAGAATAACAATTTAGTTGTATGTCAATTC